GTAGGGAAATATCTACCTAACTTAGCAAAGCAGACCAAACACCTTAGATCACTCCTACAAAAGAATGCTAAGTGGATATGAAAACATGAACATGAAGCTGAATTTAAAAACTTGAAGGAAAAAAAAAATTAAAGCTCCAGTACTAAAATACTATGACCCTAAAAGACCCATTAAATTGCCAACAGATGCTTCTAAAGAAGGCATTGGAGCAGCTTTGCTTCAAAAACATGGGGATAGCTGGAGACCAGTAGCATATGCATCTAGGACACTCTCTAAAAGTGTGTCTATATGCACAAATTGAGAAAATTTTAGCTCTGGTATATAGTAGAAATTTCATATATTCATGTATGGGAAACCTGTGATAGCTGAAACTGATCTTAAACCTTTGGTAACTATAGCAAAGAAAGGGTTATCAGGTATGCCACCCAGATTACAGAGACTTCTTTCAACTACAAGTATATGATCTAGACATACAGTACATGCCAGGAAAACATCTACTTCTTGCAAATACGTTGTCCAAAGCATATGACACAATGGAAAATGACAGAATTCCAGACTCACACATGGTACATGTTAATCTAATTAAAAGAGTGATTTCTGTCACAGATAAAATGTGGGCACTAATTGCAGAAGTTACTGCTCAGTAGAGCTGTGTGAAACTTCTCTGACTGTTTTGATTCAACACTGTTTCAACTCATTTCGAGCTCAAAACAGCAAAATCAAATCGAAACAAAGGGCTTTGAAACAGCTTTGAAACAAAACAAGGCTAGTCAAAATGTTTTGAAAATTTTGAAACATTTCAAGTTTCAAAGCAGCCAGCAGCCAGGTGGTGGGAGACAGGGGAGAACCAGGGCTGTGTTCCCAGTGGTTCCATAGCCCCATGTGGCTCAGCTGGGAGCACAGCCCTGACTCTCCCCACCTCCTGTGGCTGGGTTGAGGGAAGCTGATCATAGCACAGGGGAAGGGAACTGAGCCCCATCACTCAGTTCCCCTCCCCAGCCCTACGATTGGGCTGGGGAAGGCAACACAGCCCAGCTGAGCTGAGTTCCTTTCCCCAGCCCGATCATAGCACTGGGGAGGGGAACTGAGCGATCAGGCTCGCTCCCTTCCCCAGCTCCCCGGTCCCAGGTGACAGCACCCGGCTTTCCTCCCTCATCTGGCAGGCAGATCAGGGGCCCGGAGCCCCAGGAGGACTGGCACAGCCCCCACAGCCCTTCTGGGGTTGTGGGCCCCCATCTGCCTACTGGATGAGAGAGGCTGTTTTGAGCTTCCCCATTATAACATATGGGTGAAACATCGAAACAGCGTCACTGTTTCAATTAAACGAAACAGAACAGCGGTTTCGAATCAAAATGAAATTTGAAATTAAATGCTCTGTTGTTGAAACCTCAAAACTCAAGTTGAAACAGAACGGTGCCATTTTGCGCAGCCCTGCTGCTCAGGACACCACAGTACAAAAAGTGATAACAGCTATTTGTTTTTGCTTGTTGGCCTGGAAAACATAGACCTAGCCCCTACTCTCAGTTCAAGGAAGAGTTGTCAGTACTGGATGGCATTTTGTTCAAAGGTTCATGGCTTGTTGTTCTAGCAGTGCTAAAGAAAGACACGTTAAATAGAATACATGAGGAGCATCTAGGCATTGAAAAATGCAAAAGGAAAGCAAGGGGTGCTCTATATTGGCCCAACATAAATAATGACATAGCTATAAAGGCTTGTACAATGTGCCTAAAGTACAGATCAGCACAAAGAAAAGAACCCATGATGGTCATGGAGGAGCCCAGAGCTCCATGGTATCAAGTGGGCATTGACTTATTCATGCATGCAGGAAAAAAATATGTATTAGTGCTGGATTATTATTCTCACAGTCCTGAAATTGCATTGCTGAAAAGCACAACAGCAAACCATGTCATAACTCACATCAAATCAATTTTTACTAGACATGGGATTCTACAAATTGTGAAAACAGACAATGGACCTCAATTCAACTGTCTTGATTTTAAACAGTTTTCAAACAAATATGGATTCTGTCACAACACTTGAAATCCTAAATTTGATTCCAATGGTCTGGTGGAAAATGGACTACAAATAGTGAAGAAATTGTTGAAAAAAGCTACAGATTCACACACCGATGTTTACCTATCACTCTTAAATTACAGGGCAACACCCATGAAACATGGATTGTTCCCAGCAGAAATGCTGTTTAACAAGAAACTCAAAATGAGGCTGCCAAATCTTGTGGATGATGCTCATCGGAATGAAAATCCAGACATGAAAACATTTAAAAAATGTGACAAACTCGAACAAAAATGATACTATGATAGAGGTTCCAGGAAGATACCACAAATGCACAACAAAGATATGGTGCTTATTTCAGATGGACAAGCGTGGAAACAAAAAGTACTAGTTTCCCATCAAGTAGCTCCCAGATCCTATAAAGTAGTCACACTGGAAGGACAGGTGTTAAGAAGGAACAGACAACACTTGCAGCTCGTAAAGGGGAGAAAAGAAGAAGAATCACGAGATTTGCCAAAGGAAACAGAACTAACATCAAAGCAACAAGAAATGACAGAGGAGATTGAAAATGACACAGAAATAGAGACATCTGAACAAGGAAACCAAACAAGAACTGAACAAATAAGGATTGAGAATTTAGAGAAACTGAGATCACTTAGACATAAAAAGCCAACACAAAAACTAATAGACACCCTTTGAATGTGTTTTAACTATGGGTTGAACTAAACTTCCAATGTTAGTAGAACATGGGGACATGTTACATGTAAAGAGGGGAGATGTGTGGATATCTTTTAAGAGTGTTATGTATAAGTGTTTACAATTGCCCAGGAATTGCAGGATGGAACAGCAGAACAGTAGGCAGGCATTGCTCTCTGAATAAACAAGCTTTATCGTTTTATAAGCTTAACTCCTTGGTCTTTTGAAAACTACACACTTGCCTGCTCCAGACTGCTTGGATAGGTAATTGTCCACCTAAACAGAGTTTTGTTAATGGGTCTAAATGGTTGGAAGCTTCTACCTGGACCAGTTTCTTTCCCCTCCAAGCCCTGTCTTTTGTGGAAATGCAAAAGCTGGATGGCTTCATTCCAGCCAGTGTCCATGGCTAATCACTAGGGCTATGCAAAATTTAGCTGCCAGTTTTGTTTGGAAGCTGTTTCGACCCATTTCGAGGTTGAAAAAGCAAAATCAAAATGGAACAGCTATAGTCGAAACAGCCTTGAAACATACACAATCGATCATGATTCACTCAGGGACCAGTTCAATACACAGTAGCTAGCTACGATAACGAGTCAATGAGCAAGGATTAACACCTACAAACCACAGATTAACGAGAGGAAAGAATCAATACAGAGCCAGGAACTCCTTCAAGCTTCACTGTTAAAGGTACAGAAGTCCTGGTTTGAACTAATGAACTCTGGAGACCCACTCTTGGGACTGAATACCCCCCAATCAACCACTCCCAGATCCCTATTCATCATGGCAGTGAATTAATCAAAATTCATTAACAGACTCCCAAGACTGCACATACTCACGGACATGACCCCTGGGGCTGACAGCTGCCATCCAGCAGCCACCAACGGGGACGTCCCATAAGGTCAACGACCCCTGGATTGGGTAAGCCCAAGAATAGGGGAGTCATCAAAGTCTGCCAGAGAGGGATAAAAGGCAGCAATGAATGCTCCTCAATGGCACCCTCTTTGACCTGACCAGCACCCTGCCTGTCCAGTCAGAAGGACCAGCTGGCAACCCCCTTCTGAAGCAACATCACACTGAAATAAGCCTCAACTGGCCATTGATGGTGGACTCCACCTCCTGCACCAATCTCCTTGACAGCTGGCAGGCTTCCTGGCCTCAGTAGGGGCTAGCAGGCCTGCAGCTTTCACCCTGCTGCACCTTAACACATACAGTGTCACCCATGTCATGAGTTTTGCTTGTCCACAGCTTGAGGTACAGTTTCCCCCAAACCCCACCTAGCTCCTTGAAACTTGGCAGGCTTTGTGGCCTCTGCAGGGGCCAGCATGCCTGCAGTTTTGACCCCACTGTGGAAACACATACATGTGACATGAGTTTTGCTTTTAAGATTTTGGGGTGCAGTTTCTCTGAACTTCCAGTACCTAGCTCCTTGAAACTTGGAAGGGTTTTTGCCCTCATAGGGGGCTACCATGCCTGTAAGTTTCATTGAAATCAAACCATAAATGGCAAAGTTATAAGCTGTTTTGACCTTCCCCATTATATTCTATGGGCAAAACGGCAAAACGTTTTCGCTGTTTCGACCCTGTTTCAATGGAACGGAACGGAACAGCTGTTTCAAATCAAAACAAAATTTGAAACAGAACATTGTTCCATCAAAACATTGAAACACTGGTCGAAACGGAATGCTGCCATTTCGCACAGCCCTACTAATCACTGA